TCTAAATCAACTGCAAAATGCTTGATGAAAGACATATTTTGGCCCCAACGGTTGAAGAAAGTTCTTTTCTTCCTAGTAATGTTTACTGCAGGAAAACATTGTTTTTGCTCTGTTTCTTCCTCTTCTTCTTCTCCAAATAGTGACCTCTGACCTGACCAATGACATGATTTGTTGACATTCGCCTTTTCTGCTGGAGACTAATGTGGCATATGGGAGGCACTGGGGCAGTTCATGAACAAATGGATGGTTTATATCAGTGGCTTATTTAAAACACAATACTAGAAAGGTAACATTTGCAAAAACTCCCTACTCACCCATAGTTGACCCAGCCAGAGACAAGAGGACCTGCAGATATGAGTAGTCTCCCCACGATGCCCTGAAACACAAATAGTCACAGGTTATACAAGAGGTGAAGGAAGCCCTGGAGCACAGAAAAGAACAAGAAACAGTCACGCCATCAAATATCAGAGTTATCAACCAAGAATTGAGGTATTCAAACGCGGCGCGGCGGCAGCTATCTATATCACACCGATTGACTTGTTACACCTAACCCTTGAACATCTAACTCTAGACATTGTTTAAAGCTATCTAATGACAATGCCCCTACTGTACTTGGTGACAGCGAGTTCCACTCTGCAATAGTTCTAGGAAAGAATGGATTCTTGAACACCTCAATCCTTGGTTGATAACTCTGGTACTTGAAGGCATGGCTATTTCTTGTTCTCTTCTGGGCTGGTATTAGGTACTTAGTAGTTGGGACGTCCACCAGTTTATTAGTCATTTTGTACATCATGCATAGTGTAGACTAGTCTAGTCCAATCCTTTTTAGATAAATGTGAAGAAATAAAACCAAAATGAAGCTGTCTTCATCCCAGACTGCAGTCTTCCGCCGGAGACGTGGGGGAAGCTGAGTAGACAGCCGGGATTTGTGGGTAATATTGCGGTGAGACGGGGTAATCCCTGCTATTGATACGGGGCTCAGAGGGAGCAGTCGGGAATACTAACAGCCAAACTGTACCGACTCTTCCTACTACTGCTAACAATGGCAGGAATACTAACAGCCAAACTGTACCGACTCTTCCTACTACTACTAACAATGGCAGGAATACTAACAGCCAAACTGTACCGACTCTTCCTACTACTACTAACAATGGCAGGAATACTAACAGCCAAAATGTACTGACTCTTCCTACTACTACTAACAATGGCAGGAATACTAACAGCCAAACTGTACCGACTCTTTTTATAACTACATGGACCAGCCATGAATACTAACATCCAAACTATCACTACTACTACCATGGCAGGCAGGGGTAGGAATACTTTTTTCAGAGAGAATGGTTTAGGCTTTTGGATCTGAAAAAGTCCCCCTGAATTTCCTGTAAATTATATAGTGTGCCTGGCAGTGAACATAAGCAAAATAAAGTTACCAGCAAGTTGGCAGTGAACACAAGCAAAATAAAGTTGACTGCAAGTTGAAGTTCATACAATACTTCCTGAAAAACAGGTTGGGACTGTTCATCCTCACTTTGGGCAGTTGGAATTTATTTTTGGGACAGTGCTGGGACAATAGGAAGAAAAGTTGATTTCGAGGCCTGGAACTGTGTCAGTTTTGTAATTTTTCAGTGCTCTGCAGTATTGCAGATGAGTGAAATTTTGGGGCTGTACCAGAGATAGCTTCTCATTAACAGCCAGGCTTTCAGCACCAAGGACAGCTGCTTAACCAGCCATTCAGGCCCTGATAACCTCCCATTAAATACTCAGGGTTTCCGGGCATGTGTAGCCTCCGTAGCAGGCTTATACTTATAGAACTGGGGGTTTGGTGGTCTTCGGCTGTTTTCTGATTTGCCCAGTTCTAAAAACGGGGGTAATTCAACCAGGCCGGCTATGTTGTCTATATGCAATCAGAAAATAGCACATAAAAGCTCCCAAAGACCCTGAAG